GATTAGATTAGATTAGATTAGATTAGATTAGATTAGATTAGATTAGATTAGATTAGATTAGATTAGATTAGATTAGATTAGATTAGATTAGATTAGATTAGATTAGATTAGATGAGATTAGATTAGATGAGATGAGATGAGATGAGATGAGATGAGATGAGATGAGATGAGATGAGATGAGATGAGATGAGATGAGATGAGATTAGATGAGATTAGATGAGATGAGATGAGATGAGATGAGATGAGATTAGATTAGATTAGATTAGATTAGATTAGATTAGATTAGATGAGATGAGATTAGATTAGATGAGATTAGATTAGATGAGATTAGATTAGATGAGATTAGATGAGATTAGATTAGATGAGATTAGATGAGATTAGATGAGATTAGATTAGATTAGATTATATGAGATTAGATGAGATTAGATGAGATTAGATGAGATTAGATGAGATTAGATGAGATTAGATTAGATGAGATTAGATTAGATTAGATGAGATTAGATTAGATTAGATTTAGATTAGATTAGATTTAGATTAGATTAGATTTAGATCAGATTAGATTAGATTTAGATCAGATTAGATTAGATTGGGAAATGCAGTGTATAGAAAATAAAAATATACTAAAATATAGGGAATTAAGTATCAAGTACAAAAGATAAAAAATACCATTTAGTGAAAAATATGAAACAAAATAATTTATTAAATTTGGATTTTACAAATATCACAACTTATTATATATCTTAAACTTTTTTTGAACTAAGTAATAAAAAATAAACGGAGATTGTATACAATTTTCTTACAAGTAATTTAAATTTCAACACAGGTACTTTAACCCAAAATGATGCCTCCTAAGCTCATTATTTTTCCTCGTTAAGGAATCTATAGGTTACACATCTATGGAGAATAGTAATAACAAAAGAGTTAAAATGCGGAATCTTTAGGTTCATGATAATTTTATGAATTTATTTGAGAAGTAAAACTTAAATATTGTATTCTATTTTTACAGTACATAATATTTAACATGACTTGTACATTTGCAATGTTTTGATAGGAAAAGTTTGGATTAGGGGACTATTTGGAGCGTCGGCAGTTCAGTTGGCGCTTGACCGGATCATATTTTACATATCCAGGTACGATCTCCGCTATATAGTAATGAGTTCTTCAAATTTCATGATAACATCCATCCGACATTCTTACTGTAATTACAAATTGCATACAACTGCATAGAAATTCAAAGATATGTGTGAAGTCAACCAACCCTCACTGGCTCTGCGTTGTTGAATAAGACCTAGTCGCATTCCTGAGGGTAGGCTCTGAGCTCCTCAGTGGAGTATAGTGTGTCCGTATAGTGAGCTTGATGATGACGATTTCTTTTGCTTCAATGCATATTGTCTTGTTAGCAATTTTCTAAATATTTTACCAACAGATAGGAGCTAATCTCTTTCACGTGTTATTCTATTTCTCCCGACGAGAGCGACACTACTACTCCAGTTCTATCAGAAAATATGAGCTATCAAATAAACAAACTGGAACATTTAACAATAAGCATTTATTATAGGTGGTATTATTACGAAAGCAATGAGCATTATGTTGCGTTCTTAATATATGTTCGATTTATTCAGAAGATTAAATTAAAGTTGCAATTAACGAAATGGTTTTATTTTTCCTAAATTGTTTTCCCTCGAATAATACTTTCAAACGTCAAAAAGGAAACTGACAGATTTATTTTTTTTAGGTTGGTAGCAACGTAGACTTGTTCATAATATTGCTAGCATTGAAAATGTCAATTTTTATTCTCCGTTTGTGTATCTAATTCAAAGAGTATATAAAATAAGCGTTCAATTTGTAGCAGATTATAAAAGTTTCGTTTGCCTGATGAAGGCTCTCGATGGGCTCGAAACTAGTCGGTGCTGCCACCGGACGAACATACGTGAGTGTTTTAGCTGTTTTAATATAAGTTTAAATATTACATGCTTATACTTTTATGTTTCCTATGATAAGATCTGAGATGTAAGTAAGGCTTTTCCGTTTGAAACTCATGTCTGAGCAGCTTTACAATTTTTTTATAGCAAAGCATAATAAATTCAAAATAAGGAACTGCAAGCTTCAATTAGCTATAGCAATAAGGGATACACGGAAAGGAAAGCATTAGTATATTTCAAAGAAAGTATAATATTTACGACTACTTCATTCTGTTTACTTTGGCGTTGCCAAGGGAATATTGATTGTAGTACCTACTCTCGTACCATATTAGATTTCATTGAACAATTGTTTTAAAAGTGAATATGATGGAATACGACTTAGCAAGAATTGATTATATACTTTGTGGTATTACCTTTCCTGACACTCTCAAAATTCTCCCTAATCCTGGTCACAAAACCCTGCAGAAGGTACACGAGAGGATTTAACAACCTGATACCGTACCGTACGTAACGTTTATTTAATTTCCTTATGTGTTTTAGTTTGCTGTTGGAGATAAGAACGGTGTTCTACAATGCCTTTGTATAAAAGACGAAGAACCGATTGTACAGTTCAAAACATTACCAGGGAAACCAATCACCTCAATACAAGTTGCATCGACAAATGGTAATTTATTTTCTTAACGGTCGTAAAATAACTCTGATTATTTCTTTTTTTTTCTGGTCGATTTAACTACTTAAATGGAACTTTACCAAAATTTTTAATATTCAAAGATTTTCCGGAACGTCTATTGATCGTTGTCCATCCCTTGCACTAAGCAACTAACTAACTGCTATAGGTAAATTAGTACTTGAACGCTTATTTGTTCTATTTCAGGCAATCACATAGATAAAATTTTCGCTGCATCTGGCCATGAAGTTAAGGGTTACACAAGGAAAGGCAAAGTATTTTTAACAATCGAAACCTCAGTGTCAGAAACTATAACATCAATGTAACTATCCTAACAGAACACTTATAATAACAGATCTTTTATCCTTACTAATAAATCAACGTGTCTTAATTCAAATATGGTTCATACATACTTATTACTTCTTAATTCCAGGTGCATTTTGAATAGCGATTTGGTACTATGCAGCGGACGGACTGTTACTTTCTACCGCGACTTGAAAGAGATTTACACTTACGCATGCGAAGATCGAGTGCTAGACATTGCCGCCTTTTCTACACCAAATGTTAGGATAAGCGATGTTTTACTTGTTATTCTGGTATACTAAACGGTTACGGTTTTCTAAAGTAACGAAAATACTTAATACCTAAGTCTGTTAATACATTCATCTTGTTATGAGTTGTGACACTTCTCTTTTCCTATTTCATAGTTGGTAATTAGTACTTAATTCAAATGCATGACTATTAAAATAACTTAAGATATCATTTGAAGAGCACTCGTGTCCGTCTGCTGGTACTGATTGGCAACAAAGGTGCGGCGGTGATAGAGAATGGAGAGCTCCTAGCGCGGACACAGATATCATCAGGGCCAACCCGTCTCATCGTACCTCCTGCACAACGCTCGTCGGAAGTTACCGTGTTCTACGGTGCCGCTGATGGCTCTATAGGACTTATTCAATACGAGTGAGTTTTAGTATTATCAATTAAATAATTTCCTTAGATATCTTACAGAAGCTAAATTTGAATAAAACGACTTAAAAATTTTACTACTTACAAATACTGCGAATACTGGAAATGGTTCGAATATTGATTTGGGCCGTTAGATAGCAGCTAACTAACGATTACAAGAGTAATATATGATTTAGTTATAGCTTGTTTATCAGGACGGATCTATCGAGCACATGCCTAGTGGAAGGCGGTGGGCTGGGCGCAGTGGTATGCGTGGGCTGGTACTTCAGCAACGGCGCTCACTTGGCGGTCGGCCGGCACGACGGCTCCGTGCAGCTCTACCTTGTTGACTTGGACAATGTTAATGAGAAGCCACGGTTAAAGTTTACTTATGTAAGTGCAATAATACAAATATCCTATGATGTCACGGTAATCCAAGTTCTATCTAAACTGGACTATTTTCTTGTAAGGGACCTTATTAATATCTTAGTTTCGTAAGTAACAATAATTCTATTGAATAAGTTTGCTTCCTTAGTTTTGCGGTGAGCCAATAACATCAGTATGCGGTGGTAGCGTGGGCACAGAGGAGACCGAACTATTGGTCTCTACATTCTCTGGTAGAGTGTTCGCGTTACGCTCCCAGCGGCTGATCTCTGGAGGTGTGGCGTTGAACAACATGACTCCTGAAGCATTAGCTTCAAGAAGAAATAAACTCGAGTAAGAAATTCTTATAAACAGACTATATGTTTAAACAAATATGTATTATGAGTTTCGCTGACTAATTACAGGTTGGAAGTGGCGCGGTTGGAAAAACAAACAGCTGCTGAGCGTGAAAAATACCAACGAAATACGCGTTCTTTGAACGCCGGTATGTCAACACCACCACTCTTGGAAATTCAATATGAGGTAATTAAGATTGAACGACATTGATAGAAGAATTGGGACTGTTACTATTTTTACAATGTATCTTTTTTATTAAAGTTAACAGGTGCGATGCTTAATGGTTGGCAAGAAGTAATAATCACTGCTGGCGTTCCTTTGGACATGCTTTTTATTTACTGCAATAAAAAGGTTGAAGTACAAACTGACAGTGCTGCCGTTTTAAGCGTTTGTCCTCCGCAGGTAATCTAAACCTACACTATTAAAAAAGCGTACGTTATCATAAGTGTCATCAAGGGTAGCGGTGGTATACTATGTTAAAATAGTCATATTCGTCATATAGCCTGTATTCGTATACCAGTACATTTATGTCCAGGGCAAGGCATCAGAAATCCTCGCAACAGTGAGATGTCAAGCAGGTACGAGACGTATCTGGCTACAAATGAGGGCAGTCGTTGATTGTGGGCCTGAGATGACTGAGTGTACACAAGTACTGGTGTACGTGCTGCCCGCCGGCGCTCCAAGGATCGCTAGGCTCATCAAACTGTCATTGCCCGCCTTACCGCAATACTCACAGCACGGTGACCCAGACCGTGATGATGATAGGTAAATGAACAAAATAACGATGCTTACTTCTACTAATTTCTAGAGAAACAACAATCAACGATATCAATAAATGATGCCTATAATACAGGTAAAGATTTAGCGAACAATATGTTCTTGTATGTATGTTTAGAGTCTGGTGTGAATTGCGTTTGTCGGGCGGGTTTTCCGTGGCTGAAATGACTTCATGGCTCAGCGATGCGCTGCCCGGTGAACTGCCAAGGCCTGCCGTCAGCATTTCCTTCGCCAGGGTGCATTGTCTTTTAAAGACAGTTATTATTTGCCGATATCAGTAAGGATAATAAAATTATTTTTATTGAAGTACACGAATAAATGTCGTGCTGGCTTTATTTTATTAGGAGTTTTGATTGGCTAATAAGAAAGAAATCTTTCAGACGAGGTTCAGCTGTATTTAAATCTGACAATGTATCAACTATCGCCACATTAAAAGACCTTTTGTCTATTTGTTCTTTGAAGAGAGCGATTCGAGTCGATATATCGTGCGGTGAGATTTTCTCAAAGTTAATAAAATGAGTTTTACTAAAAGCTTAATTATTACTTACATTCATATCATGTAATATTTTTACTATGCAGATATTCCAGAAATGTGTTGTTTAATGTTATTTAAAAGTATCAAGGATCAGTTTCTATCAGAATATCAGAGAAAGAAAGAATTTATATTGAAAGAAGCTATTGGGTATGTAATTATTTTTTGTCTTGTAGTATATGTATTAATAATTATATCAAATGTTGCCTCAGTATTATAAATTTGATTGCATTTAGGTAAATTAATTATTTTCATCATAACGTAAACTTTACGGCAATTCCGCAGTCTATCTATTAATTCATTTAAGTTATAATTTCAGTGCCCTTGATTTAGACGTAAATATCATTAACAGCGAATCTGAACCAATTCTCTGTGAGGAATACGTACGAGTGTGGAAATCCGTGGATACTACAAAAAATACATTATTCTTCAATGAATTAGCCGGTAAGAAATGTTTATCATGTTTTTTTTCCTTTCTTAGGGTTTTAATGAAACGAATGCATAGATGGCGCTGAACGCTCCCGGTAAACTTGTTTAAATAAGACTTATGTTTGTTTCTAAATGAGTATCTTTCGAGTTTATCTTTACAGCTACAGTGGAACAATGGTATTCTGACTGGTGCAAATTATCTTTATACGGTCGTGATAACAGCAGCCAGAAGACACAACTGAAATTAGCACTGCAAGAATGTCAAGTCAATGATATTGAAGGTATTTTGTCGCTTAAAGATTTACAAATTAATTCTAATATGTAATTACAATTTGTTGTTTATTATTATCGTTTAATTTTAAAATATGTGGAATATGGTGACCACTAATAAAAATTTACAATTCAAGTTTTGTTTCAATTTTATTGCAATATTCGTTACGTCCTTTGAAACTATTCCGAAGCTTTATCTTTATCGCTCTGGCATTTTAAATTTAAAAGGATTCGGATAAGATTTCAATAATTGCAAATCGTATTGATAAACTGCGTGCTCGTCGCCACACAATCTGTCCATATTCGTAACGTGATGTGACAGTTCATTTATAGATGCCATCTGTTCTGCTAAGTAAACCGATGTGATAAAATCCGCGCATTGGTAATCGTCTACCTTTTCAGCCACCGCAACAACGTTTTCCAATAGCTGTAAAATATAACAATTGATATAAAAACATTAAAAACTTCAACTACAAAATCGAGTCTTCAAGGTGTTTTACAATGACTACATGTATTCCCAAAAGGTTCATAATTTGGATATAACATAAATGGGTACATAATGAATACATAGGTATTAAAACTATCTGTACCTCTGTAACAGTTTTCTCCATACTCAGACCTTTTTTGAATGCACTTTGCAGAGTTAATTTATTATCCATTGTTGGTGCTTTAAGTCCACTAATAATGATAGCACCTCCTCTTATCAGCTGGTATTCAATGAGTTTCTGCATATGTTCAAGTTCTTCGTTATACATTTTCATAAAGTACCCACCGGCCCCAGGTCGTGACATGCACGGATGCAAAAACATAGTCGCCATCGCTAAATAATCTTGTGCGGCTTGTTGCTCTGCTTGAATTTGTTTGTTTATAACGTCTTCAACTTTCGGATCGTATTTGTGTTGATAATATACTTTCCATCTGATGTTACACTTAAAAACTGGCCTTCTTAATACAAGAGATTTTAATAAAACTTTGTGCATGTTATGTTTGCATATAAACTATAATTTCACGTCTTAAATATAAATAATATGTTATTCAAAATATTAAAAGTAAATTAAACAAATTACAAAATCACATTATGTTTACTTATGTCAAACACTTTTGACACGTGTTAAAATTTATTTTTAAATTTACAATAAATTTGTGAAGATACAAAAATATTTTTAAATAAAAGTTTACTTTCAAAATGTAAACTTAAGTAAGTCTTCAAAAGTATTAAGCAACAAATGTACATTTAAATTACATTAAACTAGTGGTCATCCTAGACTTCTTTAGTGCAGAATTAAAAAAAAATAGTCCATAATTTGCACCAGCTACCTTAGCATCAACATCAGTCCAGCCATTCTGGAGATTAACCAGTAAAAACACAGCCTTCCAGATGGATACAGAGCAAATTTTTAAAAAAGGGCTTCCCACTGTCAGCAAAGCAATACACCACATACAAAATATGATTTTTTTTTGATATTACATATAAATATTCCAACCTTTTTAGAGAAATTTTATCATTTATCACTTAGGTATTGTGGTTATGCACTACTTTATTTGTTTTTAAAAAAAGTGGGGAAATGGGGTTTTAAATAAAAGATAATTAAATATATTTGTATAAACTATTGTTCTATATTTATAAATCTAAAATAACACTTACATACAGATAAATTTATTTCTGGAAAGGATAATAATCTAAACCAGAATTGTATTTGAATTTATATTTAAAGCGATCTACTTGCGTTTTTCCAATTTCTATCATCTTTTGTACTTCTTCACGGTATGCTGGAGGTAACATCTCCTCTTCTAAAGTGCATGAATGCTCACTATCAGTTTGGGCTTTAAATATTCGTTGACGTACAATATCGACATCTCTACTATATTCTTCTTTCAAATCTGCGACAGCTTTAATTGCTGTGTCTATTTTAAAAACAAAAAAATTAGCTTCTCGGTGCACTAAACCATGGGCACTAGTTTTATATGGCAAAGGCCGAAACCCAAAATTTTCAATGTTTCTAATAATACCACCACGGTTGAATATAGCGTGAGACACCCGCGTAAGAGTCGTTTTTAGATCTTGTTTAGGCATTGCCCGTAGCATTAGTGCTAATTCATAAGTTGGCATTATTTTTTACTTGTAAAATCACGATTGTAAAACGTTAAATCGCCAAAATCAACAAAAAAATATTTTCTTTGCAGGTTATATTATATGTCAATGTCAAGTTATCAGTGGCAAATACAAATGTCAACGGGCTGTCGTTTAATAACTATTTTCTATGATAAATAATTTTTTATTAGATTTTATGACCTGGTAATATAGACCTTTAAGTCATATCATTATAAATAACTTTTTTATTAAAGAGTAAAAGAAGTATTTTGACACGCAAAAAGAAAGGCTTTTTCCTTTAAGTTAAAGTTTCATTCAAAGATAGGCACATTTATTTAATGGGCAATAAACTAATAAACAAAAGCTTTTTTGTAATAAAAATTAGATTTGTGTGTGATTTACTATTGACTTGAGGTAGCCATTTGAAAGTTGAAGCTCAAAACAAAACAACAATTTTAGCTGTTACTACTTTTTGAACTATGGATTTAGTAAACTGACTTTGTCCACAAGTTAATCATGAATTCAAAAAAGGAAGGCCTGAAGACTGGTTGGTGAAAAAAAATGAGTTTAATAACTAATTAAACATACGTTAAATTCAACTAGTTGAATAAAAACACAGAGTTCATTTAATTAGTTGAATGACCTATATTCTTGGACAATAGTTGTTTTATTTACTCTTTGGCTAATAAACTGTCAGAAGTCAATAAAACTGGAATGTATTCATGTATTCTTTAATTATACTGATATATTTGATAATTTATTGATATTGTTAAGGCTAATTGTTCCTCTTTCTCTAAGTTTTGATTAAACAAATATTCTGATACTAGGTAACTTACATCTTAGTTATTTGTAACGGGCACTTTAGCGTTGATATGGCGTTGACATGAGATATGACAGACAAAGTATTATAAAATGATGGTGAACTGCCATGGCTGTAGCGTATGTGTGTATATTATAAACTTGTTATGAAAATAATATAATTGACAATTTTTAAGAATATGACTACCTACCAGAAATTTGTGTCTGACTATTGCAAGACATGGGAGAAATCAGGGAAAGAACTGTTGTAAGTAATTTTATGAAAAATTTTATCATTCCATACCACATGTGTGCATAGTTTATGAATGGGTACTCGTAGTACTCAAATATTTAACGAATCTTTGAGAACTCTACCCCTACGAATCAAAAAACTGTATAAATTGACCTTCACATCTATTTAGAATATAACGATAGGAAACTTTTGATAATAATGTTGTTTGTAATAATTTACGATATTGATTCGATGTATCCTTGTTATAAAAAATAATTATTCACTCAATACAAATTTGTATACTAAAGAATCTTAAAAAAATATACTTTTTTATCAAACAGTTGCACGTCTGAAGTTAATTCTGGTACTGATATGTATCCATAACATCTACAATATTTTACCAGTACATTTATAGAAAAACGGATCGCCGTTTATAAAGAAAAGATAAATTATAAAATGTTAATTAGGAGAAGTCATCTAAGTGATCATTTTGCCTTTTTCTTAAAATAGTATTGACCATGACAAGACAACATTTCCTATTTGATTTATAATAAATGTGTAAATATTAGTGAAAATATGTGCATAGGTGGATTGCACACAAAAAAATGTTTTTAATAAACATAAGAAGGGTGACAATATTTTGTACAGATGTTTTCAACAGCAACTTACAGTAATAAAGCACCTAATCTGTATAAAAAGTCCAAGGCCAACTGAATTGTAATGGTATAGAACCAGCCATGGTTGTCCAGCAGTAGGCTGACAATGATTATGAATTCTTAACCTACTACCTACCTACTAAAATAATCTTTATTTGTAGCAATAAAATAATACAATAACTTACTGAAATGAATTAAAAAACGGATTATTATTGTGTTTTTGTACCGATCACATAGCATACACAACAACTACAATGAATAAATTTTGTTTTCAGCATTAAAACGGTGACACAGTATGTTAAAGATGAAGGAAAAACACCATTGTTTAGTAAATCAGGAAAGCTGTCAGGGTTGTCACAAATCATATATGATTTGTTGCTTTGTGGTCTCCGTGGTAATTTGAAAAAGGATGCCGTTGTATCCATACTTCACGATATCACTGTAAGATTTTTTATATATATTATTTCTTAGTTTTATGGTGTTTATTTAATTGTATCCTGCAAAGGGCACAATGTTTATTGTTTTTTGATGTATAAGTGTGTAAAAGTGTTCATTTTAAAGTAAAATAAAACAATATAAATTTTGTTTCTTAAAATTATATTGATTTTTCATGCTGCGTTATTAAGAACAATAAGTATTTAAAGGTCTGTAAAATTTTGTTATACACTTACATATATTTATATGGGAACTTTTTTAATTTTAGTAAATATTAATCTCATAATATTTTTCTAGACATTTCATGCCGACATACCCTCGATAATCTTAGACGTTACATGCATACTTGATGCAGAAACTTGCACAGATGTGCAGAGTGAAGACAGAACAAACTTTTGTTACATAGTCAGAGAATTAGAATCTTTTATATCTGATAAATTACTTAAGGAGCGACTTGAAATTGACACTTTGCAAGATGTTGGGACATTGAAAAATAAAAACTTTTATACGAAATTCATTAAAATAAAAACCAAGTTATAGTAAGTATTTCAAAATAAATTTTTAAGCTAAGAAATGGTACTTTTAAATTTAATGTTTATGTTTCATTTTCTAGTTATAAACAACGTAAGTTCAATTTGTTTAGAGAAGAAAGTGAAGGATATGCAAAGTTAATTGTAGAATTAAATCAGGAAATCACAGAAGACACAGAATGGAAAACACTACTAGAAATCATACAATCTTTAATAGGTATGTAATTAGTATAATAATAAAAATTATGTTTTGTCTATAGTTATGTTAACACTTTTATTATTGCAGGTTGTTTTAACTTGGATCCAAACAGGGTTCTAGACATAATATTAGAATCTTTTGAGGCTAGACCA